TGTGTGTGTGTGTGTGTGTGTGTGTGTGTGTTTGGCTTCCATCCTTTCTTCTCAGATGCAGATACTGGTGCTGCGATATCCAGACTGTGTTCCTGTTGGTCTGCTTATGTATTTTTTTCTGTGTTATTAATGTATTTAATTCGAGATTTAATCCCCCCCCCTTTTTTTCTTCTCTTTTCTTAATCTCTTTTTTCTTCTCTTCTTTCTCTCCCTCCTCTCTTCCTCTCTTTATCTCTCCTATTTCAGTTAACTTTCCCTGTCAGCTCCGGCTTAATAGCGCAATAATCTAAAATGGTGAATAAAGAGTATATCTCAAGTAACAAGAGGAGCTTAATCCGAAGCTCCACTTGTTAAAATAAAAGTGTTGGCACAATATAGCACCCAGACTAACATCCTGCTTGCTAAACTGCAGGACACGACAGGGGTAAAAAAAAATAAAATGACACCCTGGCCAAAATTTTTGAGGTTTCACGCCTATATGGGTGATTCCTGTTTTGGACCACATATTTGGCTGTGTTTTCTGAAAATTGAAATTATTGTATTTTATGGTTTAACCATTTTGTCAGGACTATACCATACTTAGCTATGAGGAATGCATGCTTGCCAAGCTCAGGGGTTGAAAATATTATAATTATGGGATGTTTTTTGTATATATTTCTCCAGACGTTTTCCACCCTGTTAGGGACATGTACATGGTAATCACAGCGTTTAAATAATGTACAAGTCAAACAATACTGAACTTTTCTGAGATACAATGTGTCCCTTTTGCTATGATAATTTCATTCTTGAACAGTTGTAATTATATGAAGAGTACAATGTCAATAATGGAATCTGTGCATTTTTTGTCCCCATTTTGTTGTCTTGTATGAGGAATTTTATTAATTAGAAATAAAAGTATATGTAGATGCATTATATGTACCTCAATTAACAAAACAATATACAAATATACCAAACACTTACTGTTGTGATTAGAATATTTTTTTAAATCATTGCCTAACAGGGTAGAATAGAATATAACAGGGTCGAACCGAGTAGGCCTCTTAACAAGTAGATTCAGATTCACAACAACAATACTACTACTACAACTAATAATAATAGTAATAAATACTGTAGTAACATAAATAATTAAGAAATACACTCAAAATAATAATAATACTTTGATTATACCATTATTATTCATTATCATACACAAGAAATACACTCAAATAATAAATCTACAAGTCATTTTAATGAAAATAATAAATGAGGAAGAAATTGTACAATTTCTTCTCAGTAGGCTGCATATCCCATACATAGCCTAACAGGGTGGAATATTTCTAGCTAATTTAGCTCTAGCTCTTTAAGTGAGCAACATTCAGCTAGCACACACTCTACAGCTGATCAGCTATTTTTAACATGTTTTTAAAAATATTTTTCCCAATAAATATTTCCCATAATATATACTAACAGGGTAGAACTTTAAGGGTGCCTCAAACCGGTGTGTAATATAAAATTGAGAAAAATACAGGAGAGAGTGACAGTTAAAGCTTACCTTAGTCTTCCAGTTGAATTTCCCCCCAAAAACAAATGATGTCACTTTGTGGAAATGGCTGTATGGATTTGTAATCTTTTTAGGGAGCCAAGAAACTAGATGCTCACAGGGTGGAAAACGAATGCGGGGACATATATTATATAATTACAGAAAACAAAATAAGTTTCACCAGATTTGTTTCTTTCTCTAAAACAGGGGTCTCCAACTCCGGTCCTGGAGAGCTACCATCCAGTAGGTTTTCTGTCCCACTTGGCTTCTGATGAGCCACACCTGCTCCTGGTATTTACCTGAGAACAGGTGTGGCTCATCAGAAGCCGGGTAGGATTGAACACTGACTGGATAGTAGCTCTCCAGGACCGGAGTTGGAGACCCCCTGCTCTAAAGGTAGTATGCCCTAGTCTATCGAAATAATAAAGAATGTTTTGGTTTTTATAGTTTATATTTACTGAGTTGAATACATTGCATTTGGGACATGCTAAAATGAGCGCATATTCCAGAGAAATGGTGCTTTAAAGAGATGTAAAAAGATAAAAAAAATAGTAATTTATCTTTGTTAGAGCAATAGAAAACACCTAAACACATAATAAAATAGGTTTGTTATAAAGATGTCTAATTTTATAAATGTATAAGAGCCAGTTAAACACGAGGACATGAATATGTGGCCCAAAACGGGAATCACCCACATACGTGTAGCCTGGTGGCCAATCCTTGCTGAGCGGAGTGTGAAGGAATGAATTAGCAGGGCAATAACACAGCTGTTAATAAAACATTGCAATCCACACAACTTCATGGGACATGCATCAGAGTTCAAAAGATGACAAATTGTTGGTGTTTGTCTCGCTGATGCATCTGTGACCAAGTCCTTGTGGTACATCAAGAGTCTCGGAATCCTATAGTAGCTCATGTCTGATGTGACGCATTAAAAATAAAAATGCTGTAAGTGAACTTCAGAATATTTCTCATTTTATTTATATTAGGCATATGTAGTGGATGCTTCATATCCCCTAAATCTTCCACCTCATTTGGGCAATGCACTCCCTAGGTCCAGTTGGCATCCTGAAAGACCATAAAATCAGACTCAGATGCCTACTTAACCAGGGAATAATATGCAGATCAGCATCAAAGAGCTGAAGTGATTGGTAAATTACAGCTTTTTGTTTTGGGGCAGTAATTGCGGGACCAGCAGGAAACAATACTCTGATGTCAACCACGGAAGTCTGGTATCCTACTGGTGGGATTGACAGAGAGAAATCGGTACTGCTTTGGTAGAATCATGTGAATATGTCAGCCACAACAACGATGCTGTGCAGACATATGTAAGAGGTCAAAAAATACGGGCCCGCGCAACGTTTGATTCATTATTTAAAAACGTCATTCCGCTGATGTGCGCCAGATATCTTCACTACTTTTAGTAGTTTAGTAGTTTCACTACTTTTTCCGAATAAGAAAATATGCGACTCCGTTCAAATCTGAAAAAAAACGCAGTGAGGGAGAGTCCACCCACAGAAACCCAATTACATGAATTTACCCCGAGCTTTCGTTTTTTTGTGTCTGATCAGAGATCGCGTTCGGCTTGGGAGTACAGGCGGAACGTTTGTTTGTAGGAACCATTCGCACTGAATTGCGAAGTGCTGCACGGATTTATTTAGTAAGCCCACTCAGACGTGCATGGACGGTTTGTATTTCAGCAATAGCTGATGTATGATTTCGGCTTTTAGCTGTTATTGGTGAAAGGAACCTGTAATTTACATAGATATCCTTAAACCGAGATAACGAAGTTGGCTGCTAAGCCATTGAATACTTCTCCTAAACGAAAGTGTTGTTCAGTTATGTGATGGGTGCATGATAAATATTACCAATAAGTTTAGTCAGATAACCGGACTGCGTGTAGATGGAGGGACCAGACACAGAGGCAGAAGTGCGACTTGAGGTGAACCGGCATGTCAGAACACTCTGTACATCTGGGGATGCCGTGGAAGTGATCGAGACCCTCAAGTTACTGACCTGTTACCTGTGTGATGGGTCAAACACCGAGTTCTCCGAAACATTGATGAAAGAGTTCAACCGGGTGCATTATACCAGGATTTTAAAGTTCCTCACCAGTAACCTCCAAGCTGATTGGCTGCAGCGGCTCAATGCCTCTCAACACCGTGAACTTTGGGATAGGTTTTTCCTCAGCGGTCCACCAGACCAAGCAATGCTGGTGCTCATGGACTGCATTGGTACTCTCAGGTATGTATTATATTAAGAATAATTAGGAGGATGTGGCATGGATGTTTGTTTCCCCCAAAATTGCCTTTAAAACTCCTGTCCGTTTGACATTTAGTCAAAGTTCGGGTCAGGATAAGGTGGTGGACGTCCTTGAGCTGTACCTTCAGGCTGGCCGCCTGGCAGTCCTGCTGTGGACTCGGTGCCAAGGGTCCAACTCCTCAGAGTCCCCACAGCTCAGAGAGATGCTTCTGGGACGCCTGGTGTCTTTGCCGGATATCACTGCCAACCACTTACATCCACACAACAGACCTCTCTTCCTGCCAGACCACTACTACCCCCTGCTGGCCAGGGAAATTAATTGCACACTGGAAAAGACCTGCAGGGCACTGAGAGGTAGGACAGCCAGGATGTCAGGGTACCTTTCACTTATCGTCACCGGTAAATACGCATGCCTGTCTTTGCATAATGATCCATTTGTCATGGTGATGAATTTGTCTTTAAATATATTTCTTATGTAAATCATATATGATGTATGTCTAGCCTCATTGTGTCTGGTGTTCTTCATATCTCTACAGGTGGACAGGATTGTTCCTTGGGTTTTGTAGCGCAGCTGCTGGGGAAAACATGCATACAGGGACATAGCAGTAAGTGTAGGTTTATTACTATTAATTATTTATTCTAAACATATTGCACTTCTTATGCCGTATTCCCCGCCTGCTTGCTTGTGTGTATGTGTGTGTTTGTGTGTGTGTGTGTGTCTGTCTGTGTGTGTGTGTCTGTGTCTGTGTGTGTCTATGTCTGTCTGTGTGTGTGTGTGTCTGTGTCTCACACCTCCGCACCTCTGACAGAGCTGCTGTTTCGGGAGCTGGCCCCACGCCTCTGCTCCAGCACTCGCTCCGACATGGTGTGGCAACGGGTGTGCTGGCGACTCATGGAGAATGTTCCGGAGCGCTGGATGGAGAGCGTGGTCGTAGGGCTCGTGCAGGCCGTGGACGGGTGAGCGGAGAGTCCGCCAGAGACGGTACGGATGGATACGGAGCCCATGGTGCCGGTAACGACAGCCTGCCCTCTCTCCGTCTCTCCCCTCAGACCAGATGCCCTGTCCAGGATCATGGGGAATCTGGTGGTGAAGAATAAGAAGGCCCAGTTTGTGGTCACACACAAACTGCTGCTCTTACAGTACAAGTGCGAGGTGAGGTGCTGGACTGAAGGTCGCTGATTCGTACATTTGAAGTGTTTTAGTGATGCTGTCTGAAACCAACATTCATACAGGTATATAGAAATTCTCTAGCCTTCATGTCCCATCTTTTCTCTCCTATGAAATACACATAAAAGTGAGAGCGAAGCTGAGGGTCAGAGTGCAAATCAGCCATTTATCTGCAGCCCTAGGAACAGTTTTTGAGCCTAAGTATCTTGCTCAAAGGGTCAGAAGCTATTTATTTGTCAGCCCGGGGATTCGAACCAGCAACCCACTGGACTTTGGCACCCTCATAACCTACACAGCCATACAGCACCCCATAGAGGCAACCTGTAGGTATCTCTTACAAGACGAATGATAGTGTTGGTAATTCTTGTTTGGTATTTTTTTCTCATTGGCCAAGAGCCGCGTCCTGAGGAGCCTTCTGGGATACCTGGCACGGGACAGGGAGCGCCGGCCGCTCCTCGCTCAGGTCGGCTATAAGCAGGCAAACCAGCAGCTATCTCATGTCGCATCCCTTGCGTGCTGCAGCCCATGAGTACATGACTCTTGCTCACTTTGCATGTTCCGCATGCTCAGCTGCCGCAGCCTATGAGTGCATGACGCCCTCTGATTGCGCATGTGCTGTGTGCTCAGCTGCTGCAGCCCACGAATACGTGATGCTTTCTGACTGCGTGTGTGCTGTGTACTCAGTCGCCGCAGCCTATGAGTGTGTGATGCTCTTTGAATGCACTGGTGCCACGTGCTCAAGTGCTGCATCCTGTGGGTGCACGACATTCTCTGATTGCACATGTGCCCCATGCACAGGTGCTGCGGGCGCTGTGCCAGGCCTGGTCCAGCAGCAGTGCTGTCAAACACACCCCCCTGGAGCAGCAACTCTACTTGAGCCGCTGTCTGCTGTTATGCGTGGGTCTGCTGGATGACCGCGAGCTGGAGGAGCTGCGGGCAGGTGGGTGGCAGCACAGGCAGGCGTGCAGCAGTAGGGGGCAGTGCGTCAGGTTTACCTATCCCCTGAATTCCTGCATGGGGTCCAAGTCTCTCTCATTACCCATTTAGATTTGCGGCAATGCATGCTGGGAGGGATCCAGTGCCGCCTGGACAGCGCCGTGGTGCGGATTCGCCGGATCGGCATGGTGGTCGGCGAGTGCCTGAGCTCCCGGCTGGACGCCGGCGGGGCCCAGCTGAAATTCGAGGTGTGGACCGATCTGGCGTCCTGCAGGGAAATCCGATACGGTCATTCATTTGTATATGTCTGCTTTTTTTTTTTATTACGACTGCGTTGCTGACTGGCAATGCAGCTCTGATATCACGTGAAAAGGCAGGCTGGCGTTTCTTGTTCCCAGTATGACCATGATGAGGAGACTAGGGACCTGCTGTCCATGATGGACCCCCATGTGTCCGAGGAGGCCGTACCCTCAGAGGACACCGTCCCCGCTGACAGGTGACGTCTGCGGATAAGTCTCCCGTTCGCTGTGTCATTCAGTCTTTATTGCAGCTGTCCCTTTTAAGCACAGCACTGTCTTGTTTTCTGCTCTGCAGACCAGCGAACCGGCCTGCAGAGCAGAAGGAGAGTGCCAGGTCACCCGGGAGGCCAGGCTCACCGCTGAGCTCGTCGGCAGAGCAGGATCCGGCGGGTGACGCGGGCTCAGGCTCAGAGCTGGACAGGTGAGAGGACAGGAAGTCTGAGGGGGGACACGGTCCCTGCCTGCTAACGTGACCCTCTCTGTCTGTGACAGCGACGATGAGCTGGCCCCCTACGACATGTCTGCCGATCGGGAGATGCCCACTGCCGCTCCCCCCCGGTACCTGCGGGATTGTTTGGAGGGTAAGAGCAAGGACCCCCCGTGTCCCCATCACCCCCCATGGTCTCCCCCCCCTCCCCAGGGGGATGGCCTTTTTGTAATCGGCCTCTCCCTCCCATCTGCTCCCCCCCAGCCCTCATGTCCTCTAAGGACGCCGCCCGGGTGGAGCTCAGCCTGCGGGCCGCGGAGGGCCTGGTGCGCCGGAACGTCTCGGCGGCCAGAGAGGTGACTCGCACGCTCCGGCCCCCTGACCCTTATCCCTCACCCAGCCCCGGCCCCCTGACCCTTATCCCTCACCCACCCCCGGCCCCCTCCCCAGCCGTCTCCTCTCATGTCTGTCTGTCCACAGGTCGGCGTAGAGCTGAGCAAAGTGCTTGTGCACCTGGAGGATTCGTACTGCATTCCCGACTTCCTGGCACTACGGCGGGGAGCCATGGTGGCCCTTGTGGTCACCGACACCGTCCCTGTACGTCACTGAGCTGAACCAGCATGATGGCCTGGAGTGCACTCATCCGTCCATCCATCCATCCATCCATCCATCCATATATCCATCCCTAACCGCCTCTAGCACAGGCTGCAGCACAGGGCAGGGGGCACCCTGGTTGGGGTGTCGGTCCATGGCAGAGCTCACGCAGTCACACTCTATGGCCAATTTAGAGATTCAACCTTCATATTTGCCTGCAGTGGTACAAGATTTATCCCTGAGCTCTGTAACGTACCTCTGGGGAAAATACACTGCATCTTCTTTAAAATATATTTGAAATGAATGTTAAGCACAACACAGGCAGACGAGCATTATGGAAATGGAGAAGTCTTTCCTAAGATCCTGCCTGCTAACCGTTTAACTGTTTAAACGTCTAACCAGGTAGTTGAGTTCCTCACCACCGAGTTCTACGCTGTGAATTACAGCCTGCGGCAGCGCCTGGATGTCCTGGAGGTGAGGGGGCGGTTTGTCTCCCCCAAGCGGCTTCTCACATTTAGCAGACTTGTTATTAAGAGAATCCCACCCCCCCTCTCATTTATACCAGGTGCTCGCCCTGTCAGCCCAGGAGCTATCCCAGCCAATCACAGAGCAGGGCCGGCCTCCCCGGGGGGCTCAGCCCACCAATGCGGTGATACCCCTCGCCCAGAATGCCCCGCCTCTGCACTGGAGGCAGGTGGTGGAACAGCGCATTCAGAGCAAGACCCGCCGTTTTGCTAAAGTAAGGCTCCGCCCTCCTCTGGTACGATTGGCCAGCGGGTTCCTCACATGACCTAATGATTGTTGATGCTAAATGAGGATAATGTCAACTTTAATTTCTGTCAGTCCCCATAAAACATGCATCAGAATTTAGCCGTGAGTCAAAATATGGAAATTAAACACGGCATTGATGAAAACTTTCACATCGTAGTCTTTGTTTGTCTGTTGCAGTGGAACGCTGTTAAGAAGCGGTGTTTAGGTGTTTGCCCATGTTGCTGTAACGCAGCCTTCGTGCTGCCAGAGCAGGGCGCCGTCTTGATGGGCTGTGACTGGTATCTCATTCCCCGCAGGGTGCTGCCTCTCCGACCGTCACGGCGGCTCCCAACCGCTATGCTCCTCTTGCTGGCTTCTTCTTCTTCCCGTTGCTGCGTAACTATGACAGGTACAAAAGGGGTGGAGCCTGGGGTTCCACGGTGAGGCGGCCACGGCGTGAGGGGCTCGTATCTAAGGACAGTTTCAAACACATTTTGTCCCATAGTTACCAAATGATGTCATGGTGTCTATGTGTCCCCTGTCCCTCAGGCCGCAGGTGACCTTTGACCTCATGGGGAGTGACCACCTGGTGCTGGGGAGGCTGGTGCACACGCTGGGCCTGCTGACGCACCTGGCGGTAAACGCACCGGTAGGTAGCGCCGGAAGGGGCGGGGCCCCGTACCTTGTGTCTTTGGGGATCTGCGCTGACGTGAGTGTACTGTCACACAGGTGGCCACTCAGATGGGCAAGGCTCTACTGGACTTTGTGTGGGCTGTCCGTTACCATAGCGACCAGTGAGTGAGACGCCGCTTTCCAGACAAAAACCCAGGCAAACACCCGCACAGACCACGAGCCCTAATCTTCCACGTCCCCCTTCTGTGTGTGACACTCGGCTCCCGCCCTCAGGGTGGTCCGGCAGGGCGTCCTCTTCGCAGTCTGTGCCGTTTTCCTCACCATGCCTGCCCAGCACCTGCTGCCGGAGCTCAGCGATCTCGTGCCGGAGACGAGGGCCTGGCTGGCAGGTAGGAGGGTGGCTCTCTGCTTCCTCTCTCCCCGGCAGAGCCTCATACTGACAGTATCTGCAGCCCTGCCATTAAAACTCACTTTTGTTTTTCACTTGTGTGTTTCACTGTCATCAGTAAATGCATCATCATTCACAGAAGTAGCACTCTCATTAGTGCCTTTTGTTTTGTTCCTCTCTGTATATAAGATTATATACAGCTCTGGAAAAAAATGTAGAGTCCATATTATTTTTTTTTATTTGCATTTTTAAATCCTGGTTTAATCCTGGTTCTGCTGGCAGAGGCTACACTGAGCAGCAGGCTGCTTCCAGGTTCAAAGTTTCTAAGACAGCAGTACAAAAGAATAAGGTGAAGCTGGAGACACTGGGAATGACCAAGAACCAGCCAACTAAAGGGTGGAAGTGACTCATAGGATGACACCAAGTGACCTTCAGAAGGAACAGGAAACATTAAGTGCAGGTGTGAAGTGCACTGCTAGGGCAGGTCGTATCAGGCTCCTACAAATAGGACTGAAGTCCCATAAAGCGAGGAAGAAGCTCTTCATTAATGAGAAGCAGGGAAGAGCCAGGCTGGAGTTTGCTAAAAATATATATATATTATTCACAGACGCATACCCATAAATTGAGAAATGAGTGAAACAAAAATTGTGCATTTTTTCAAGAGCTGTATGACTAAAGAAGTGGCATTTTTGGGGTGGGGGGGTTGTGGGCTGAGATCTCTCGATGGGCCGGCCCCCGGACTGGTGACCGGCTGCCGCAGGGAGTTCCTGGCAGGCAGAAACTGCATCAGTTGGGGATGTCCTGCCCTCATCATAGGTCACAGGGGGGGAGGGGGGGTGCAGCTGTGACACGGCATTTCTGGGAAGTAAAGTGGGGATTTAAGGACATCCTGTACAGTCAGGCCTTGTTAGCTGCCGGCTTATCTTTCCCCCCATTTCCAGGAAAAATGCAAATCTGTGTGAGATGATGCCCCTTCCATACAAATTCAATTTTAGAATGTAGTGATGATGTCATGTTAGTAATAGTGTGTGGGATTGGTAATGAGGTGGATAACTGTGATCGGTGGTTCCAGTGTCTTCCTGTCGTCCGTCCCCCCCCCCGCCCCAGACATGGTGGAGGGAGACTCAGACGCAGACTGCCGCAGCCTGGCTGCCCAGGCCCTGGCCCTGCTGGAGAGGGGCCTCAGGGCGTCCCTGGAGATCCCGGCCGAGGCCCCCCAGGCCTGAAGCGAAAGGACGCCACACCTGCGCTGCAGGGGTCCTGCTTTCAACCCGGCTCCCACCCGCCTCTTCAAACGGGGACAGAACAAAGACGGCGGACAGAAATAGAGCAGGAATTTGGTGGGGTGGGGACGTCTTTTTCAGCATCATCTCAGAGATCTGTGTCCTTCACAGGTGTGAGGAAGCTGTGTGATCCTCCCCCCTTCCTGAGCCGAGCCGACGTCACCCTCCCTCGGGAATCGCGTAGCTGTAATGCTGATTTTATTCAGCTGCTCAGAAAATATAGCAGCAGTGAAACTGAAAGTAAAATTTAGACATGAGATCACATACGGCTCTAAAGCAACTTACTCGCTTTATTGTTATTTATTGAACGTCCACTCAGCTATAATTATGCTTTTTTATAGGTTATGTAATTTATTTTTCCTCAGGAAGGTTCTTTTCAGGACTGTAATAAAGCTAAAGCCATCTACAGCTTGTTTGTTCTGTTAAACTCTTAAGACCAAGTTGGTTCTGTGACCAGATGCCTGGGTGCTGCTGTTTCTGTACACCTCCACGGGTGGGGGTTTGAATCCCACCTCTGCTGTGTGTGTGTGTGTGTGTGTGTGTGTGTGTGTGTGTGTGTGTCAGTGTGTGCATGTCTGCGTGTGTGT